ACCGATATGTATAATTTTCCTCCTTCCCCTTAGCTATTCGTCTAAGCCTAGCATGTACAATGGCTAGACAATCGTAACTACTAACGTTAAAAAGAGCAGCTAACTTGAAAATCTGTGCGCGAATATCTTCATCTTTAAACGTATATTCTCCCATTAAGGTGATTGGCTAAACGTTGAGGACATTAGTCTTCACTTGAATGGCTCTATTCAGGCGTTTTTCAGTGAGCCCTTCGCGTATCTATTACATTACTCGATGAAGTTATTTTTTTTTAGCGGCATTTATGTTAATCCCGGGGTGTGCGATAGACTTACCTCCACGTGGTGCACCCTGGGCAACGTATACTCATGCGGCAAAAAAGTCTATTAATCGGCAGTTGACTTCTCACTTCAAACTACCATCACTCCACTGTATGTCATATTCGACCCCCTACCACTGCTTATCTTACCCTTTCTGAGCCTTTGTGTCTGTTTCTTTTACATCTTTGAAACACCCTTCTATTCCCCCTCCTGAATTCTTCCCACTTCGATGTTTCTCCTCCCCTCTGTGAAGCCCGAAGTCAACTAAAGGGCTAATGATAACTATCAAAACGCCTGCCATTTGATATAAATAAATAAATGTTAATCCCTCACACCCCTCCACACTCTCTCAACGGGGAAGTTAAACAGGGAATGACACAACATTTATTTCAAGATTTTTTTTGCTGAAGGAATTTGGTGATTCGAAAGAATTCATTATTGCCCCTTGAAGCAAGGTGACATTTCTCTAAAAGTCCCTGTCAACTAATACGTTTCCAATTTATCTCACCCCATTAGGACAAAATACTTGTTTCATTTTCCCCTGTCACGCCTGTAAGAAGCATTTTTAAGTGTACCGTTGAGCGAATATAGCTGTAAGCTTTTTCTATCTTTCAGCCATCTAAAGTATTGCCATATGTGACATTAAGTTGCGAAGAGGTTGGCGATAAAGTGTCGTGAATCAAACTGAATGAAGTTTGCATTCGTTGTTTGATCACTCCCACAGAAAAATAGTCACATATTTTTAAAGTAAATAAAAAGGTAGAAAGGTGTTTTTGCTTATATACATAGCCTTAAAATCACATTTTATAACACTGCTGTCATTATGAAAATGGGATAGCTCAAATCTTACCGGCGGAGCTTCTGTGGGAACCGCAGTTTCTCCGGTTGATGGCGGGGTAGTAGTTTCAACATCTGAAACACAGCAAACAAAGCTCAGTAGCTCCCAAAATCTCCTGTAAGTATAGTTGCAAATAATCCAATTTCTTACTGGCCGAAGGAATTGGTGAAGTGGACGGAAGGCCTGTGATTGGTTGTGGAGTTTCAAAAGTGGTATTCACCTGCTGACGGAAGAGATAGCTATGCTGCGGACAAGCAGCCATTTCAGCAAGAAAATCTCCGGTTAGAAGTGGAACTCCAGTGGTAGTGGTATGCGGCGATGGACTTAGATGTTGAATCTGATAACCAAAAAAAGCAAAAAACAGGTAACAAAAATTAAGCCTAAGTTATTTATAGAGAGAAGAGAAGCATTCTAATCAATCTACCTCAGTATTTCCGACAGGATTCTGACCCGAATCAACCTTCACGAAGAGAGTAGCGCCGGAAGGTGGTGTTGTAGATGAATGAATCTCACAGGAATTTAACACGGATGCTGTTGAGTCAATGGCCTCCACAACACGAATCGGCGATAGGGGCCGCATTATTCCATCTAGAAAATAAAGTAGATTGATAATCAAAAACGGGGGGGGGGTGTGGGATAGACTTACCTCCACGTGGTGCACCCTGGGCAACGCATACTCATACGGCAAAAAAGTCTATAAACCGGCAGTTGACTTCTGAGTTCAAGCTATCATGACCCCACTGTACGTCATATTCCACCACTTTCACAGTACTCACTTCACATTTCATCTACCTTTGTGTCTGTCTCTTTTACATCTTTAAAACACTCTTCAGTCCCCTCCCCCTCCTCTCGACTTTTTTCGATTTGATCTTCCTCTCCCTCTGTGAAGCCTGAAGCCAACTAAAGGGCTAATGTAACTATCATAAAGCCTGCTATTTTATATAAATAAATAAATTATCAAAACGGATAATAATACTAACGAGAGTACTTTTAAATCCCAGTGATGAACATCACCAAACAAATCGACTATTTGAAAGACTTATAATGTGATTATACGTCCCACGAAGCTCTTGGGACTTGAGCAGTTAACAAACGCCAAGTTGTACATTTATATTTTTTATGTTAAAAAAGTTTAAAAGCATTCCTGATGGCATATAGTGCAGGAAAACAAAAATACGTGTTTTTTCAAGGTTGCAAAATAAGTCCTGAGTTCCTCATTAATGCAAGATAAGCCAGTTTAATTTTACGAAGCTTAGAATCAAAAATCTTGCGCCAGAAGAGAAAAAGGAGAAAATTTTTGACGCAAAAAGATCCAACCAAACAAAGTACTCTAATGAACGAAAAGTTAGCTGGGTAAAAAGTTTTGAGAGCGAATCAAGCATATAATCGATAAAACATTGATGAAATGAGAATTAAAGTAGCGAGAAGAGATAAAACCAGTGAAAAGACATTTTGCAATAACATTTACTTGGCATTTAAATGCAATACTACTACGAGTCACGTGCCGAAAAATTCAGATTTTTGAAGAAACAAAAGACGAGTATGTTGAATGTTAGCTGAAATTTGAACCGTTTTAAGATTTCAAAGGAAACAAATGATGAACCAAGAAAATGCAGCCCTTCTAGAAACTCACCAGCAGTGGAAGCTAACAGGAAGGTCTGTTCTCCACCCGGTGCGACTGAGGGAGTCGGTTGAAGAAGAATAAGTTTTTGGGGAGCTGTGCTAGAGGTTGCGACAGTTGAGACAATATTTGAAAGCGGTGGACGTCTCATAACCTGTTCGGTGGGAGTTTTCAATTTGCGGCTCGCCGTGTTTAACACTGACTCGTCGAGAAACTCCTTTGCTACATGACGTGTTCGGCCGGTGGTTGAGGAATAACCTGGTTTCATATCTATAGGTAAAGCGGAGTATTTATGTCAATCAAAAACATCTCCTCTGTGTGACCGATATTAATACAATTTGAGGACATAGAGATATCTCACGCGGAGAGGCTTCGACTTGTTAAACAATAAGCACTTTTGGCAATTTTAGCCAATTGATTAAGCCGATCACTTCAAGCCACGTTTTTTTCCACAACCTTTAATTAAATTTAGTTCTATCCCACTAAAGCACTTAACATAAAACTAAATTTTCTGCTGGCCGAAACGAGAAAGACAACGTGATGACTAATTCGAAAAATTTAATATCTCAGTTCATCTCCCATTTTCTACTCCCACGATACTCAGGCGTTAAAACGAGCAACAAGTTTAATCATTGTCCGACTTGATTATCATTTAAAAATTGTTGGCATTAAAAACTTATAATGCCCCTTTGAAGGCAAAAGAAGGACTAAATTACGTTGGTCCAAGATATCTAAAATTGAGTGGTCAACTTTATGAAAACAATTATTCTACTTGTATATCTTTTAATGGAATGCGAATGGAAGCATATAGATTTAGATATCCTCCTTAGAATCCATTTTGGATAGAAAGAAAACATCTGGATTCAAATAGCAAAATGAACTGGTGAATGCCAATACCGCCAGATTGATGGTTCAACGCCAACTATTTGGCATTAATAATGATTTTAAAGATAAGATTTAGAGAGGAAAGAGATTTCAGTCCTAAAAAAATATTTCCATCGCAAGGTGTGGATTTCTTTACGACTCGAGTTCATTTTTAAGCAACACTTGTGCGATGGACTTACTTCCACGTGGTGCACCCTGGGCAACGTATACTCATACGGCAAGAAAGTCTATTAACTGGCAGTTGACTTCAAACCACCATGACCCCGCTGAATGTCATATTTGACTACTTTCACATTACCCACCTCACCTTTTTTATGCCTTTGTGTCTGTCTCTTTATTCCACCCCCCCCCCTCTCAACATTTTTTCACTCTGATGTTCCTTCCCCTCTGTGGTCAACTTTTTCTCACTTTGATGTTCCTCCTCCCTGTGAAAAACTAAAGAGCTAATGATAACTATCAAAACGCCTGCCATTTAATATAAATAAATAAATGTTTTCAAAAAGAACAGTTTCAGAGACATTGAGGATACGATAACTAGGACACTAGCTACTCCTCTTCCAATCAGGTGCTAATTGAAATATACCTTCTAACTCCATGTGCATTCAACTACTTCGACGCGTCTAGCAGGTATATCCAAAAGAAATAAAATAGGTTGATTTTGAGGAATGGTTAGACAATGAAGTGATGACTCTGCAATTATGGTGTTAGGAATTAGGCCATACCTTTAATTCCCCCCTGATGGGTGGAATCTAAGCTTATTATTACTGTGAATAATAGAATATAAACATTGCATTAAAAAGCAAATCATCTTACTCATCAATCCGACTCTTTCCACCTCAGACATCCTTGGTAGAGAGGCTCCAAATGTATTAACAGTGGCGGAAGACACGGTAGACGAAACTAGAGAGGGTTGAACGCCTATAATGGCATTTCCACCACCACCACTACTATTTACTCCATTATTCCCAGCAATTGTGTATCGTGGAAGAGTGTGAGTAGTTCCCGGGAGGGTAGCATTGCCTTCTGTTGATTGCCTAGGTCCATCCATGTCGGTCCCTCTGGCTTTCATATCGCCATCAGCATCATCCTTGGAATCAGACAAAGCCGAGAATGTTGTGTACTCACCACCTCCAGTAATTTTACTCTGAATGCAAAAATATGATTAGATTGTTCATCTTTCCATCCACTTACGACTTTCATCAAGAACATATATATATATTTACGATTTCATATATAATTATGGGTTAGTAAACATGAGTTGATATACTCTATTACTAACTGTGCACATTGTATTTTAAATAATTGTGGAACATAGACTTTGATAGAATTTGTCATATGTTTAATAAAATATGTCTTTGAGGTTTAAAGACAAATATTTATTATTATTTTCTTCATACTTCATATCAAGAGTGCTTAACGCAAGGAATTTTATCAGGATCTGCCTATTGCTTCCTTTACACAATTTCGAGTTGGATGATTTCCTTCATTCTCCATCATTAGCCTCTGTGAAAAAATTATTTCGTTTGTTGGTTAAAGGACTACTGAAGTGGTCTCTGCTCTTTCTTCCCTATCTATCTTGTGTGGTAGCTGTATTTATTTATTAGAAGCACTGATTTAGCCGGATTCCACAATGTTATATTGACAACGCCTAAGCAATAGCCTCTTCTTAATGGAAATAAAGCTCCAATTCCACGTCAACTTTTGCTCTCAGTTCTCCTGCACATTAAGACCGACTGTTCGCCTTGAAGTGGCTCAAGCAAATCAACAGAACAAAAATAAGATTGACTTTCATATTGGATTTATTAAAAAGAAATGAAAAGAGATGGACCCTATTCAAATTTTTCTTTTATATCGAATATACGCTTCTCAATATTAATAGAAATAGCTACTATTTATAAGTTATCAAATCAATTCGTTTCTAAAATTCCCAATTTCGAGAAACATTGGGAATAGTAATACCAAAAAAATGTTTTCTCAGATCGGTAATGCATAAATCATGTGGTTGTAATACTTTAATCAATCCTAAGTTGAAAACTTTGATAAAAAATTAAAAAGCCGATTTAAAAATATGAAAAAAACAAACAAATAAAAGTAAATTTACTTGAGCTTTATCTGATCCGTAGGCATTGAAAATATTTTGGCCCAATGAGATGAGCTCGATCTCTCCATCGCCATTCAGAGTTCCGTTTCCGTTAATTCGGCAATCTTCGGCATATTCAGGCTAAGGTAAGTGTGAAGTGATAAAAGAAAAAAAAATTAGTTATAGAATAAAAAAAGTACCATTTGGTTTCATGCCATTGAGGGTAACATTCCGTGGACCCATCACAACAGTATCAAAAACATATTACTCATGCGTGGTAATTTACTATACCTTTTCTGATGCATCAGTGTAGCAAGGGACTTTAAAAAAGAACAAATAAATGTTTTGAAAATTGCAGATTTTAGTCATCATTAACGAAAATAACAATTTTGCTAAAATAATTAAAGAATAAATTTGAATAGTCAAACTAGAACAGGAGAACAAATTGTTTTAAGCATATATACTTAGCCAAAATCATTAGCTACACTTTCAATATAAAACAAGAATTTAACAAAGTGCCCACTCGGTTCAATACTCTCCTGCCGGCTCTTAATCCACCAACAGGAAAATATAATGGAAACAACAAAAACGACCAAGACCAGAGACGCGACTGTGATAAGCAAAAGCTGTAGATAAACAGTATCTTCCTCAACGTCTGTGTAGTGTCTTTGCTGCACCATTCTTGAAGACTATAAAAAATATTAATAAAACAGTAAATCTCATTGAAGAGCACATAATGACGTTATCACAAAAAAAGCTTACGACTTGAAGAAATAATTCATTGCTCCCAGTTCTTAAAGTATGATGCAGTCCCCAATCATGCTTTTCTTCAAAAGTAGCATTAAGAAGAACTTGAAACTTATTTGTAGGCGAACGAAGAACTTCGACAACACCCTAAAGGTTTTTTCAATAAATTAACCTAAAACCATGCCTCATAGGGATTTTGTATGACGAAATCCCAGTCGTTTGAATTGGGAAGCTTTGGAATAAAATCGCTTTCGTCAATTAAAATAAGACTATCTCCGCAGTGTGCATTGCAAAAAAAACTGCCAGTTAATAATAAAATGCCTCACTTGAAGAGCAGAGATATTACTATCCACATTTTGTTATTTTAGTTTACAAAACCAATATTCAAAGTTATGCTCCATGCAAACCCATTAAACGCGCTTCACGAGAGCTTCAATTATTGCCCTAGAATGACTGCCTAGAATGGATGAATAAATGGGTCATTATAACAAAATGAAATGCTTTTGTCAATAAAATGAAAGCGTTTTAGTGATTAAGTAAGCTAAACTTATTTTACTGTATTTATATACTCAATAAATTTGTCTCTGTTTTTTATTTTTGTGGTTAAAATTTTACAAGTTAACTGCATATCTCATTTTGAAACGTCAAATAGAATTGAAATTTTGAAATTTATTGATTTGTAATTTTAGGTATTAAAATTTGTTTTGGTTAGAACTCGCTTATGATTTACCATTTTAAGTATGTTTGGTGAACAAAATAATCACTTTTATTTTAACCCCCTATAAATTATACTTCCACCACTTTAATTAATAGAATTAAGCGTAAGTCTTGACATTACATACTGTTACAAGTATACTTTAAATATATTTTCAATATTTACATGATGATGATTATTATTATTAGATTATAATAATATTTACTTGATAAAATATATAAACTATATTTTAAATCCTGCTCTAATGCATGTTTCCAATGTTATGTCTTGAATTTATCCCTATAATAATCGAATTATTGTTTCTGTTCTAAAAAAACTTTATCAGTGTTTTCTCTCCTGCCACGATCTAGCACCAATGAGCTTATTATGGAAGATGACTGTACGGTCCTAACAACGTTAAAGAGTAATGTTTATTGACTACTGATTTAAAAAGTGAGAAAATTGGCCATGGCTGATAAATGGTGCAGTTTTATAGTGCCTAATTGGCTTTTGAGCTATTATTTGATTAGGCTATTAGCTAACTGTATTCTTTAACTGATTGTTGAGTTAATTCTATTGTGACACTTGGTTTACTTTTTCGAAGTTATTAAATATCATCTGTGTATTTGATACTTAAATTCTAATGAAATTTTTAGTGTTTTTTTCAGTTCAGCGATTATAATAACTTCTCAGCATAAGACTTTTTCACTAAATGCCATAAAGTTATCATTATCCCTTTAGTTGACTTCAGGCTTCACAAAGGGGGGGGAGGGAATAGAGTCTCAATAGTGGTGAGGAGAACTAAAGAGTGAATCGTAGATATAAAGGATAAGATAAGGGTAAGAATTGATCGAATACGACATACAGTAGAGTCATGACGGTTTGAAGTCAGAGGTCAACTGTCGGTTTATAGACTTTTTTGTAGTATGAGCATATATTGCCCAGAATGTACCACATGGAGGTAAATCCATCCCACACCCCTTATCTTAACTACTATACTGATTAATTTATTAATAACCCCATCTTTCCTAAATACTGGAATAGTCACTCTTCGTTGTTGCACATCGTTGTTTAAATTTAATTTCCAGCATAATTCACCTTTTTATTGAGGAATATATATATATATATATATATATTCCTAATCTTAAAGTTATATTCCTCAATATTATCATGCAAATAAAATGACGATCTGTAACATTCAGCATCGTAAACTTTACTAAAATTCCTCGAACATTGATATTTATCTATAAAAAGTAGCATCCACTTACTATAAGTCTGTTCTTTCCGGTATGTAACGTTTAAACTACAGAAATAGCATTTTTTATTATCGAATGCTGAATTATGAGCTCTCACTTGTAGTATCAATAGTAATCAAAGCTAATTTTTTTCTTCAATATTTACATAACCAACTCAAATATATTACCTTAAATCACCATCAAATGCCCAAGCCAAATTGCAAACCTAACACAATCGGATTTTGGATACATATAGGTGTGAATATGCAGTCTTAAAATTTAAATATATTATAACTTAAAATTGCAGAAGAAATCTTTCTTCTCTCAGAAGGCAGCAAAACATGCATTTCATAATTTTTATGAAACCGAAGGAAATGTTATTATTTGAGTGAAGTATCCTACTAATGCCCATCACATATACAAATTCGATTAGCTCATACAACCCTCTCTTCAGTCTCCCAGGTACTTACTTAAAATACAAAAACGCGAAGACAAAATGTGTGACATTATATATATGAAATGTATCCACACATACGTTAGAGTAAAAGCTTGCATTGGTCTTTAAAACGATGATCAATTTAACAAGAAAAGTAAAAATATCCTAGCATAAATTAAAGATTTTCTTAAAGGGAGTTTAAAGTTCATAAAATTAAAATTTTACGATTTGATAAGGTTATTAAATTTCACCTTGTCCAAACAGCTTGGTTGTTTTTGTAACTCATGTATTTGATTTCTTGTCGAGAAATTCAGTAAACGTGTTTTTGAATAAAAATGAATTTGATCACGCATTTACAATATTTTTATTCATTTGGATGGCCAATTATAGTTTGGGAGGCTTGGATTTTACTTATATATATAATTATTTAGCCTGACAGCGTTTTGGAAACTATTTTCGATTTAGGACCTTTATTGAGCAATGGAAAATCGTACGATGCGTATATTTTAATTCTCGACGAATATGCAATTAAATGTGAAAAACCCATAATTTAGCGCACATTTAAATGTCATGATTCGTGTTTTTCAAGACGAGGCGATAATGAGAAAATGAAAAGGATGGGTTTATTTTGTTGCTGAAATGAAGAGGACAAGAAGCAGTTATGGAGGTTTTGGAAGGGGAGAGAAAAATGGAAAACATTCAAAGTAGAAGAAAATATATCAGATAAGTACCTAAAGGAGGAGAAGGGGAGAAGGGAAAGGTTTAATTTGAGTATTCGAGACCAGTCTAAATTTCATTTATTTCAGAAATAATCATTTTATTAATTAGTACAACACCCAAATAACATGATGATGATATAAAATGGTAGGCGTTGTGATAGTTGTCATTAGCCCTTTAGTTGACTTCAGGCTACATATAGAGGGGAGGAACATAAAAGTTAAGAAAGTCGAGAGGGGTAGGGGACAGAAGAGCGTTTCAAAGATGTAAAAGTGACAGACAGTAAGGTAGGAAAAGATGAATTGAGTACTGTGGAAGTAGTCGAATGTGACATACAGCCGGGTTATGGTAGTTTGAAGTCAGGAGTCACTGCCATACAATGGGGTGATGGTAGTTTGAAGTCAGAAGTCAATAGCCATATTAATAGACTTTTTGCCGTATGAGTATACGTTGCCCAGGGCGTAGGTAATAGACTTTTTTGCCATATGAGTATACGTTGCCCAGGGCGCACAAATAGATTTTGCCGTATGAGTATACGTTGCCCAGGGTGTACTACGTGGTAGTAAGTCTATCGCACACCCCACACCAAAATAACATAGACTACCTCAAATGGAGAAATTTGTTAAACCTCCTTATGTTAATAAAATTTTTGTGCCATATTATTATTCCTAAAAAACCATATTTATGTCAATTCCAACTGGTATAAATTTTTAAACAAAAAATATACTTTTTTGCTATTTAGAACAATTTGATATGAGTGAGATTCTGATTGCTTTAGAATTAATAATTGTCAAAATTCCTTGCAAGCTGATGCTATTACTAATGCAAGACGTTTAAATACAGAAAAAATAAAAACCCCTATTAACTTGGCAAGACATACATTGTCTGCTGGAGAGTTTCGAAATATTCATGATACATTATGGCAGTTAACTGTATAGCCTGAAATCGACTTTGATATCAAGCAATGAACTGTAAACGAATTTCGGTCCAAAGAGTAATTTTATCTCCACAATTTCAAAATCATTCAATTAATTTCAAAATCGAGAAAATATCAATATAATGCACTTTACATATAACGCAAAATAATATTCTAATGAATATATAAAAAGCAACTGGAATCATCATCAAGGTGTCGATGAATCTTAGTCATTTTGATTTTTAAATTTAGGTTCTAGGTTATCCACTGATAAATTGTTTGAAATCCAAAATTCAGTATTCATGATTATTTTAGTAAATTTTTTGCTGTTACATCTGATATTACATGAGGGCAATTGGTTAAAGTTTTCAATGTAACGAAAATGGGTTTTGAGAATACAGTTTTAGTTGAAATTTAAGACGACCTTTTTAGTGTTTTACTAGGGTGTTTAACTTAAATGACCTACAGATTAACTTAAATACAATGGAGTGTCCCATTGCTTTTCGTTTTGCGAGGCCCCAAGATGCCCGAATTCAACATGCAGAAAACTTTCAATCGTCTCTCCCAGGTAATAAAAATTTTTGTTTTTATTGCTGATATTTAGCGGGCGACAGAATTGGTCAACAAAAGCGATAAGACCAGCTATCCTCCACATACCGAAGAACTGATTGCACAGATTGATCACATGAAACCATGCCTCAACAGGATAATCTTAGCTACTGAAGAATTCGTTGAAATTAATATTGGTATGATTTAAAATGATTCTAAACTTTACAACTCATGTACGGCTGCTTAATACATATGTTCAAGTTTTTTGTAATTAATTTTAGAGGGATAATTAGAATTTTTCCGTTTTGCAGCTTCAAAAGTTGTGGATACCTTCCAAAAGAACCGAGAAAAGACTAACACTTCTGACAAACTCTCAGAGGCCTTTAACCATGTTGCCAATGAATCTGAAAAGAAAGCCCCAAATCTCAGTAAGTTTTCTACATTTTTTTCTGATTGTATTACTTTGAGGTTTATTTTTTGATATTTATTAATTTAGGCCAAATGTTGAGAGATGCGGCTGATGTTCATCTCAAAATGGCATCTGCACGAAAAGCTTTCAATGATGATGTTAATAAAACCTTCATTGAAGACTTAAGATCTTTCGTTTCTGGTATACTTGCTGAAGCCCATGTAAGACTTTGTGTAGTGGATTTTTGAATGGTAACTGAGAAACAAAATTTTCAAAATGTTTTATTTTAGAAATCTAAAAGTACGCTTGAGGAGAGTCGCCTTGATATGGATTCTTCCAAGAGCAAATTAAAGAATGCCAAAGATAGTGAACAGAGGGCCAAAGTAAAAAATATTTTCTTCATATTTTCGCTAGCATGGTTTTTGATTTCTAATTACTATTTTGTTATTAAGTTTGAAGCTGAACTCAAACAGAATGAAGTTGAATACGACAGAATTCACCGAGATGCAGTCGCCATATTCGAAAAGTGTATCAAAGAATTCGTATGTGATAAATGCGTTTCTTTTAATTAAGATGTGCTCTTTTTTATTTACTCGTAATCTTTCGTCCCCTTCTAGGATGGACTTAGTGTCCAATTGCTCGATCTCATTCGTGCTGAGAAGAAATATTACGATACTCTCTCAAAGGAATGCAGCGTTATGCTTAGGGAGTAGAGGCACAAATTGTCCTTTTCTCCAGAAAATACCTTTTTGTAGTTCATTTTCATACTTTGTGATTTTTATGACAGTATGTGAATGGAAAATAAAATATGTGCGACATCTGAATGGCTTTTGTGACGAGGGTGGCTACGGGAGCGCTAATTTGTGTGTAGATTAAGTGACGCGATGACGGGGTGAGGTGAATAGAAATGCAAATTTAATTGTGCCATAGAGTGGATTTTATGTCGAACCTAGGAATATTGGCACAGAAAATTTGCGTTTTGCTATTTACGTAATAATATATTCATACTTATATCTGTAAAGTTAAACTAGTAGCACAATAGGCAATTTCTAATTATATATGCACTTTAATGTAATACAATTTTTAACAATTCGCTTTAAACTTTCATAACTAAATTTGTAGAAAATTAGAGAGTTTTAAAGGGTCAGAAACAGGCATGACCTTTACGGTTATTTAAATGATTGACAACCGTCACTAGTGATATAAAACTGTCAATAGGTGAAATGCCAGAGAACGATATTAATAAATCTTTCAACAGATTAACACAGGTATTAGCTTAATTTATGTGCAGCTAAAGATTTAGCGCGCTGGCGAAATGGTGAATAAGAATGATAAAACGCCTTATTCAACTCGTGCTACTGATTTACTACAGTATGTTGATCTCATGAAACCGTGTCTTATAAGATTGATCTCAGCGAGCGAGGAATTTGCTGACATTGATAAGCGTTTGTTTTATTCGAATATAACTGATTTTGTATTGCATAATTATTTAAATAATGAATTCTAATACTGTGGTATCTGTTTTAGTTTCGAAAACAGTTGACGTTGTGGCAAAAGATAAGGAAATTTGTACTGCAACTGATAAATTAGCAAACGCCATGGAAGAGGCAGCAGCAAAATCGAAATCAGCAGCTCCTCAATTTTGTAAACACATTTTTAACTAAATACCCCAAAATTCATTTATATGTTTCAAACTTCTTTTTAATTAAATTAGCGAAAGTGTTGGAAGAAGTAACATTACTGCATCGGCGTTTGGCTACTGCTAAAAGGATATTAGATGAGGAACTGAGTAAAAAATTTATCGAGATTCTGAAGAAGTTCGTAAAAAATGATCTCGTTGAAGCAGAGGTAAATTTTATATGCCTTTCTGACTTATACAAATTTTGCAGAAAACAAAGAAAAAGTTGGAAAATTGTCGATTAGATCTGGATGTAAGTAGAAATAAGCTAAAAAACGCGAAGAAGGACGAACAGAAAAGCAAAGTATGCTTTTGATTTTAAGTTTATATCGTTATTTATTCTAGTGGGAAAATGAACTTCAGCAGAATGAACAAAAGTTTAATCAGGTTCAGAGCGAATCTGAAGCCATATTTGAAAAGATCCTCACTGCTTTCGTATGAGTTTATTTGATGGCAGCCAAAATTCGTATAAATGCTGTTACTTGAATGCGTCTTTGCTCTTTAGGATCAATTGAACGCCCAACTTATAGACCTGATCCGATCAGAGAAAAGCTACTTTGAAAAATGCGCCAAAGAATGCAAATTAGCTCTTAAAGAATAAATCAACCTTGTTCTATCCTCTATCCACCCTTTAATTTGATTTCATACTTACCTCCTACGCACTCGTTTTAATCGTACCTTGAGCAACCAATGTGACAATCTTCTTTGATTTGCTTTTGATTTGATGGGGTTATCAGTGACTCGTGTATTTATCAGGAGATTTTTTCCGGTGGATATTCTTTTGTGGTGATCGTGGTAGATATTTCCGATTTTTTGATAGAACTCAAATTCAAATGTGCGTTTTCCTATACTTAAATTATGCCAAAGATAAAACTTACTAACGAGAAAACAGATTATTAACGAGTTATTTAAAATACGATAAATTATGGAAATGGCTAACTCATTGAAAGTTTATTTTTAGTTTAAATGGATTAGATTTTAATAAATGACCTAGAAGTTAATTTGAATTTGTCTCACATTTACTGCGCACTAAGAGTAATTGCAATGGGCGCACCCGAGGTGACCAAGTTCTTTAATCGTTTTGCCCAGGTAGGCAGTGTTATTATTTGAGAAATTGCATAACTCGTATATATTTAGCGGGCTGGAGAGTTGGTAAACATGAATGAGAGGACGAATTATCCTGCCCACACTAATGAACTAATCGAGCAGATCGATCAAATTGGATCTTGCTTGAAGAAGATAATATCTGCCACAGAGGAATATGTGGATATTAACTTCGGTTTGTTAAACGTAAAAGATCCAGATAAAGAAAACGCACAATTTCAAACTTTCTTTTATCTATTAACATCTAGCTACCAAAGTTGCTGATGTCATCCAAAAAAATAAAGAAAAGACCACAACGACGGATCGACTTGGGACTGCTTTAGAAGAGGCAGCCCTTCATTCGGAAAGTGCGGCACCAAATTTCGGTGAGAGTTTCTCAAAATCATTTTACACTCGTGAAACAGCTCTCTAATGCTTTTTCTTCTTACATTAAACTCCAGCTGAGATGCTTCGAAAAGCGGCCGATGTACACGCACGAATGGCCGAAGCTAGAAAGAATTTTAATGAAGAAGTTAATAGAACCTTCATTGAGGATTTGAAAACTTTCCAGTCATCCATACTAGCAGATGCTTTTGTATACTCAATTTATGTTTTCTTAATTTTGGTGTGTATTTGTAGAAAGCCAAGAGTGCTTTAGAGGATGCTAGGCTCGATTTAGATTCATGCAAATCCAAACTTAAAAGTGCCAAGGATGCAGAAGCTAAAGCGAAGGTAAGGCAACCAAAATTTTGATTCTTTTTGAAACAAACAAAATATTAACTTTCACAATAAATTTAGCAAGAGGCTGATGTTGCCAGAGAAGAGGCCGAGTTTGATAAAATTCACAAAGAATCCGTGGAAGCGTTTGAAAAAGCGCGAGATGAATATGTGAGTTGAAGCCTTGTTGAATATGGTCCCAGGAGTTTTTGATTTTACGATTTATTTAAACCCTAGGACAAATTGGGCCTTCAACTCAGGGATTTAATGTGCGCGGAGAATAAGTACTTTGGTGCCTGTGCACAAGAATGCCAACGTATGCTGAATGAGTAAAAAGGGGCCTTCCATATTCTTTACAATTGAGACAATCTTTCCGTATTTGCAAAATCATCAAATTTTCTCCATTTATCATCTTTCAAAACCTCGAATTTAATTACTTACTCCTTTAAATCAGTACATTTTTCATAGGATTCGTCTCAATGCAATGATACAATCACTATTAATTAGTTTTACATCAGAACTAAATAAGCGGGGGGGGGGGGCGAATTGACAGTGCATTCCAAATCCCAGTCACCACTCATAGATTAATATTGACTATGAATATGCGTTTACCTTTGCATAAAATCGAAGGCCATTGTTCAGAAAAAAAAATAATTATCGGTGCCTTTGTGAATTCCACATTGAATGAAAACGGTGAGTTTGCCAGTCATTTTTCTTGCCCGTGGTATAGATACATTCTTATGAAGCATTGAATTTTACTTAAATGCCTGTTCTCACAAGTTAATTAAGAGAAAAAGGTTTTTTCTAAGTGTATAGCACTTTAATTTCTGAGGTCATTCAATTAAGCCTTACCCTCCCTAGGCAAGCTTGTAAGAGTCATGATGTTAGCTCTAAAAAGCATTATTTTGGATTCATTTACGCTTTTCTCAACCACAGATTTCAAGCTCATCAGATTGGTGAAGCTTGGACTGGGATCGAGTGGGTATGATGACCATATTCCGTACTTGAAGTTAGAGAGGTAGCAATAAAAATTGGTCCTTTAATGCAAGAATAGTCGGGCGACATTAAATTTCACGGTCTTGGCATAGCGGAGATCAAGATGAACTCTCGTCCGAACCGTTTCAAAATAGGAGAGGTTTTGCTTAACCCAAGCCTCACTAAAAATGAATATAGTGAAGAATAACAGCTTTAATTTGTTCACATTTGTTTCGCATAATGAATGTTGGTATTGCTTAGAAAGCGCCTGGTCTAAATTATTAGAATTTCTAGTTTATGCACTGAGTCGAATTCTTGCGTGAGAGAATTCTCCTCATTCCAGCTCTGCATTAAAATGATCACAAATTTCTATGTACGCGCGAATCACAAACAGTGTGACTCAGCCAGTACACTGAGCTAGGACATGGAGCTGAATTTGTGAAATCTGTGTAGCTGAGTGACTTTACTGCAAATGAATTCAAACAATTTCCATTGACTATTAATCATTTTTATTTTTAGAATCTATCAATTTCAAATATCGAGAAATATGGGAACCTTTAATCAATGACATTTATAGTATCTGCAAATAGGAAGGACGAAATTTATTAAATTATTGATCAGCTAGTTACCTGAAAAAAAATCGATAAGGCAAAGAGCGCCAAAGTTTCATGTGTTAGCAAAATGATTAATGATTTTAATTGGTGTAACCCGCACTTTGAGAAAAAAATGTATTTATATCAAATGACTGTGAAAGTGGACGAATATGACATTCAGTGGGGTCATGGTAATTTGAAGACAGAAGTCAACTGCCTGTTTATAGAATTTTTCTCCGTACGGGTATACGTTGACCAGGGTATACAACTTGAAGGTAAGCCTATCGTGTACCCCTTGAGGAAAAATTAAATTTGCTTAATGACACAACAAAGTAGAGTTATCATAGTTCCCTTTGAATGACCGTTGTATAGGATAATACACAAATAAGCCTTAGATAGGTCTAGAAAATTCTCCATGACGAAATCCTTTAGCGTAAAATTGCTCTCAGGGTTATCTAGGCTAGCTAATAGCATCGATAAAACAGAATGTTGAGAAAGAAGCGTGCTATTTTAGCCCATGAGCCATTGATACAGTACTTAGTCGAAGGAATGCAATCGGGTTCATGGTACGAGGAAATTAGTATTGATTGCCGTTTGCCTGAAAGATCTCTGCACTCACGACGCACATCTTCCCTACGGGATTGTAACATGGTCGCACCTTCCATGCTGTTTAAGTGCACGTTAGATTTCTTTGTTTGTGCCTGATATAATTGTGCTCTCCATAAACTCCAGTGAATTCCACAATGTCCATGAAGTTTTCCAGTGTTCTTTCCTATCTCCAAGTGAACCGCATTTTGTGTGACTATGCACTCAATTTGATTAGAAAATTTCATAACGAAAATATTCTGGACAGAAATTACCAAAATTGGGATGATTAAGTAGGTCTATTGTTTTCAAATTGGAAAGTTAAGAGTACAGAGTAAATCTTATTATGTTGTGCAACGGCAAATGGAAACTCAAGGCAGATAGAAGGAAAGGTAGGAAAATGGAGGAAGAGAGAGAGTGAGAAGGTGATTGCAAGAGTCCTCTGTTTGTAGCCATCAGCCACGTACTTGTCGTGACCTCAGATTTACCGGGTGAATTCGGATTTATCGGGTGTGTGGTTGTGTGGCGTGTACAACTGGCTAACCCATATTCCCAAATGTTGTAAATTGAGCGCAAAGAAGTACTCATGAGATTTCATTAAAACAAAATAAATTAATATTGTAAAAATTTAAGGAATTTTTTCGGGGAATCCAACATGCCGAAAACCTGCTGCACATAAATTGTTAGTCAAGTTTAAGTACTTGAAAATTGGCATGAATATTGACATATCTGCCTATACTTCAGTTGTTGTGACATACAGACACTTGTTTATTTCCGACGCAGAATCACTTTATCTTTACGGAGCATGGAGTCAGATCACCACCTTCCCACTCCTCAGAAAAGCAATACCCACGCCAAATCTTCCAATCACCACTTAATCGTTTTTAGGCTTTTTTTTCCTGTTACCAGGTCAACGAGACTCCATCGTAATGACCAATGAATTCTAGAAAAAGTGAGGCAATTTATATGCAATTCTCCACTAATGAAATGCATCGTGATAAGACTATACGGTAACAAAAAGCACAAGCAGCTGAAGGGTGGAGGTGGGGCAGGCGAAATGTCTGAAATGGGGATCTATTTTTCTCATGCATCGTGTGAAATAGGCGCAATCTCATCCAATTTTCGAAAATGAACGCTGACACGTAATGCAGCTTTAAATAAATTCGAAATAGAATGAAATGGTACAATTTTTATTTATCACCCCCCAAATCGATTAATTTCTGATTGACATCTCCAAAAATTCCCCCGTTCATTTGCCATGTATTTTATACCAACAGTTCCAGAGCACCAAACTAATTTCTCACTTTATTCGTTTACTTGATTGAATGACATATTTGGAGTATATTAAGTTACTTATTTTTACGTACGGCAATAAGACCTCTACGCTTTTAGTTTCGACAACTACTTGAAGCCTGACATGAGTAAATCAAATAAGCGATCAAAACGAGAGTATGAGAAAGGCGGAAAATGCAAAGTTCCATTTCATTTGTGGGTTTGGATTAGGGAGGAGGAGGGGAGGGGGTGGAGGCAATTTCCTGAGAAGATAGGCCACTCTCCAATGTTTGAACTTTCAGACTCACAACAAGGAGTAAAGCGCATAGTTTTCATGGATGTTCAGCGCTTATCGGTCCGGCAACTTCAATTCATCTATCTTCCCAATGGCCGTAAATACAAAATAATTTAAGATGGTTTTTTTTCAAAACCTTAAATCCGTATAGATAGGGTAATAATGGCACTCATTAATTGATTTTCTTTCAGGAACAAGGAAATGTAGGATAATGAGATATTACAATTTACTAACTTTATGAATGAAAAACAGGAGATATTATGGTTGATACCTAATGGTAGATACTAGCAGCCAGATTTAGTATTTGGATTATTAAAAATGACAAGTTGAAATCTGAAACTTATTACTCATATATGTTTGTCTTCTCTAGGCCTTAATTCAATTTCACGATCAATCAAAACTGAAGTGTGCATAGTTGATAGGCTTGAACCAAGAAATCCTTTCAAGTTCTATTTTATGGTTTGGTTGAAATTCAGTGTTATAAGGGAGTCGATGGAAACCAATGGGACCTTATCGCAGAGCAAGCATCGGTAAGCCAGGTATATTCTCTGAGAGATTCAAGAAGCCATTCGATGCAGCACTTAATCTGTTTACTCATGGATCGCTACACCTCCAACTCGAATCGAAATGTGAAAATCCCAATTTTCGGGTGGAATTTTGAGCCATTAAGCTCCCTGATTTGACTTACATCTGCCAACAAAGTCATTCAAGGAAGTGCCCAGACAGCTTCCATCAATTTTTAGCTCAAAATTTCACCTATTTTCTAGTTTTATAGCTCTATCTCTGCTTATTTTCTCCAATTTTAATGCTTAAATCTTTGATTTTACCTACTGATTCCAATCATGTGTAGAAATTTACATTCATCTAATGAAATTGTAAGTTTACTCTAAGTGCCATGTGATTAACTCAGTTATTGTAATTAGTAATAATCTAGTCTGTGTTCCGATTCCTGATATTTAAAAAAAAACCCTTTAAGGTAAATTGCGAGTTAAAATACGGATTTATGTTAGAAATTTATGAATCATCAGGCTTTTCCCAGCTTGGCCATTTGATTTGTCTTTAAGAATTCAATTAATACCTGTTTCAAAATTGCAGAAACGCTCATGTGCATGATTTTAGAAAATTTACAGCCCACCATTTCAGACATGACAGTCTTTGATGTTTAAGCAAGACCTTACTAGTATGTGCACTTATGAATTAATAATGGGAGTCTAAGTTAACGCCTTAGAATGATAGATTTGCTATGAGTTCTATTCATGATGTGGCAACAGATGAAAGGTTTCAATTTAAATCAATCTCTTTAAACGTATTTATCGGTTGATTCTGCTAAGAGCTTTTAATGAGGAAGGGCTGTGATCTGTTTTATCCAATTTATTCGTAATGACTCGAATATGGATTGGTGGCCTTCCAATGAAAAGTGTTCATTAATTACTATTTGGCGTTGCAATCTCCTGATTGTCTGATATGCCTAGGTAGAGTTAGTCAAAAGAAGCATAGTTAGAAGTTATAATCATGAAGTATTGAAAATAAATGGAAAACAAAGTTCCAACTTAAAGGAGAGAAGTGGTTGAAACTTAAATTGTTTAAATCCCCTCTCTTCCACAATAAATAAT